TAAAGAGGAAGAATGTATTTGTAGAATCTCAGCGAAAGAATTTATTATTATGCAATCGCATAAAGTAAAACAGTTCGTTACATTGAAAAATAAATAATTATTTAAAATTCAGTTTATCGTGATTGTTACACTAACTAATGAATGTAAGAATAATGGAATAGTTTTCTGTCTTGGAGAGTGACATCTGTAAATTTTTTTTGCAAACGTTTATTCTGATATTTTAATCCCTACTTTAGTGATATAACTCCGCCTGGAGTCCCTTTCCGGGGGCTACTGCCGGTCCCAAGCCCGGATAAAGGAGGAGGGTTGGGCATGGGGTTAGCGACACCATCCCGTAGAAAACTAACTCGCTAAAAAAACGCTAACCAGAAAAAATTATTCAAACCATTTAAACTCTGCCCTGGGAGTCAGGAGGTCTTCGTTTAGAAGAACTATGACGCCTCATGATGAAAGCCGAGTTTCTTCGGAAGTCACGAGGCCGATGCCCCTTCTGAGTTTTCCAAATTGCTGCAGAAATGGGGAGATACAATTTAGAGGTGCTTGGGATCAGTGAAACACATTAAACGCAAGTTGGACAACAACGACTAGCTTCAGGGGAGCTGCTGTTATACTCCGGACATGAACAAGAAAATGCTCCACATACACAAGGAGTTGCATTGATGCTGTCCAAACAAGCACAAAATGCACTTATAAGATGGGAATCTCATGGACCAAGGATCATCAAAGCCTCCTTCAAAACAATGAAAACGAGGATTACAATGAACCTCATCCAATGCTACGCACCTACCAATGACTACAATGAAGATGCTAAAGATCAATTCTACGATAGGCTGCAGTCAATCGTCGAGAAGTGCCCAACAAAAGACCTGACTATTCTGATGGGAGACCTAAATGCCAAGGTTGGAATTGACAACACCGGATATGAAGAGATCATGGGACGACACGGACTGGGAGAAAGGAACGAAAATGGTGAGAGATTTGCAAATCTATGTGCCTTCAATAAACTGGTCATAGGCGGGACTATATTCCCACATAAACGCATACACAAAACCACATGGACTTCACCGGATCACAGCACACAGAACCAAATCGACCATATCTGCATCAACAAAAAGTTCAGGAGGACGATGGAGGACGTGAGAACAAAGAGAGGAGCTGATATAGCATCAGATCATCACTTGCTGGTCGCCAAGACGAAATTGAAACTCAAGAGGCACTGGACAACGGGGCGGACAATATCACAAAAATTTAATACGGCTCTTCTTCGGGATAATGACAAACTCAATAAATTCAAGATAACCCTCAGCAATAAGTTCCAAGCCTTTCATGATCTACTCAATGGAGAAGGAACTACTATGGAGAGCAACTAGAAAGAGATAAAAGAGGCAATCACTTCAACATGTCATGAGGTTCTGGGCCAAAAGAAGCACCATCACAAGGATTGGATCACGGTCGATACACTGGATAAGATTCAAGAAAGGAAGAACAAGAAAGCAGCAGTGAATACCAGTCGAACAAGAGCAGAAAAAGTCAAGTCACAGGCTGAATACACAGAAGTAAACAAGCAAGTGAAAAGGAGCATCAGAACTGACAAACGTAAATATGTGGAAGATTTGGCATTGACGGCGGAAAAGGCTGCCAGAGAAGGAAACATGAGACAACTGTATGAAACAACAAAGAAACTCTCTGGAAATCACCGTAAACCAGAACGACCAGTGAAAAGCAAGGAAGGCAAGATAATCACCAACATTGAAGAACAACGAAACAGGTGGGTAGAACACTTCAAAGAACTCTTGAATCGACCAGCCCCACTGAACCCACCCAACATCGAAGCAGCACTCACGGACCTCCCAATTGATGTTGGCGCACCGACAATTGAAGAGATCAGCATGGCTATCAGACAAATCAAGTGTGGCAAAGCAGCAGGACTAGACAGCATTCCAGCAGAGGCACTGAAAGCAGACGTAGCAGCAACTGCAAGGATATTCCAAACTCTCTTCAGAAAGATCTGGGATGAGGAACAGGTACCAAAAGACTGGAAAGAAGGACTTCTAGTCAAAATACCAAACAAAGGCGATCTCAGCAACTGTGACAACTACAGGGGAATCACTCTTCTTTCAATACCAGGAAAAGTCTTCAACAGGGTATTGTTAAACAGGATGAAGGACTCCGTAGACGCCCAACTTCGAGACCAACAGGCAGGATTCCGTAAGGATAGATCGTGCACAGACCAAATCGCAACTCTACGGATCATTGTGGAACAATCAATTGAATGAAATTCATCACTCTATATCAACTTCATCGACTACGAAAAAGCATTTGACAGCGTGGACAGAACAACCCTATGGAAGCTTCTTCGATACTACGGCGTGCCTCAGAAGATAGTCAATATCATACAGAATTCCTATGATGGATTAAACTGCAAAATCGTGCATGGAGGACAGTTGACAAAGTCGTTCGAAGTAAAGACTGGTGTTAGGCAAGGTTGCTTACTCTCACCCTTTCTCTTTCTCCTGGTGATCGACTGGATCATGAAGACATCAACATCTGAAGGGAAGCACGGGATACAGTGGATAGCTAGGATGCAGTTGGATGATCTAGACTTCGCAGATGATCTGGCTCTTCTATCGCATACGCAACAACAAATGCAGGAGAAGACAACCAGTGTAGCTGCAGCCTCAGCAGCAATAGGTCACAATATACACAAAGGGAAAAGCAAGATTCTTCGACACAACACAGCATGTAACAATCCAATCACAATTGACGGAGAAGCTTTGGAAGATGTAAAAACCTTTACATATTTGGGCAGTATCATCTATAAGCACGGTGGATCCGATGCAGATGTGAAGGCACGGATTGGCAAAGCAAGAGCAGCATATCTACAACTGAAGAATATCTGGAACTCAAAACAATTAGCAACCAACACCAAAGTCAGAATTTTCAATACAAATGTCAAGACAGTTGTACTGTATGGGGCGGAAACCTGGAAAACTACGAAATCCATCATCCAAAAGATACAAGTGTTTATTAACAGTTGTCTACGCAAAATACTTCAGATCCGTTGGCCGGACACTATTAGCAACAACCTACCATGAGAGAGAACAAACCGGAAACTAGTGGAGGAAGAAATCACGAAGAAGCGCTGGAAGTGGATAGGACACACATTGAGGAAAGCACCGAACTGCGTCACAAGACAAGCCCTTATATGGAATCCCCAAGGTCGAAGGAAGAGAGGAAGACCAAAGAATACATTACGCCGGGAAATGGAGATAGATATGAGAAAAATGAACAAGAATTGGATGGAACTAGAAAAGAAGGCCCAGGACAGAGTGGGTTGGAGAATGCTGGTCGGCGGCCTATGCTCCATTGGGAGTAACAGGCGTAAGTAAAGTAAGTAAGTACTTTAGTGATATCTGTTAAGTAATATCTTTACATGTTTCCTAAATTGTTCCAAAGAAACCTCGACTTTTAGAAGATTGAAAGGTAATATCAGATTATCTTTGAACATATTAAGAAATAACTGTGTCACTTATGAGCTTCATTTGATTGGATTTTAATAAATAACCGGAAACTACTAATATTTTTGCACTCGCCCTTTTCAAGTCTTATATCCATCTATATTAAAATGAGCTAGGAGAAAATGTTACTTAGCTGTTTACAGAATATTTTACAGACCTTTTAATTTATTTTAAAAGAATCGCTTATTACGCTATGATATCTTGTATAATTATTTGGTTCTCTAACAGTTGATTGTTTTGATGATATTGCATTTCGTCAGAAAGTACTGATTCCGAAGTTTGTTACTAGCATGATAATTTAAACATATTATAGGGCTACATATATTTTTCATTGTTTTTTTAGAATAAACATTACTTTATATATATTGAATGCAAATTTTTTACTTGTATGCTTCTTAAGTTTACTATTTATGTTAATAAAGTGTTTCATGATATTACAGATTTCTATGGATAATCGTTTTGTTATTTTTATTACTTAACTAACTGTAAATCAACATCCAATTTATAATTTAAACTTTCATAGATCAATATAACGATATAATGAAATTATCAAAGTAAACAAATCGATTCACCATTCAAGTAACCGTATTCAAAATCTTATCCGATTAGACGATAACTAATAGAAAACGGTACCTATCCAATCGATAAAGTAAATGTATACACTAAAGATATTAATTCTAAACAAAATGTCTAATCAAAATATAATAAGATCCTGAATTATTTTTTAATCAGTAAATAAACATTCAAACATAAAACAAAAAAGTCTTGAACGAAACAATTTAATATCCATCTATTCCATTTCTTCATAACAACAACTAATCTTTTCTTTTTTGAAAATTACCGTTTTGTAGAAGTTCATTACATATTTCTACAACGATTAATTTAATCAATTTTCTCATTTATTCGGATTAATAATATTCTATTAATAACTTCATTGTTTCACTAATCCAAAACATTAAAAAATTTCCTACTCAATATATTATATACTTTTATCTAAAACTATTCACTATTATTAATAGAAAAAGAAAATAGACACCATAACTTCTCTATTAATTTACATATTGTAAACTCTTAAAACAAAACAAAGCAATTAAATTAAGTGATCATTCTGTAATCATTTACTTCTTTTTAAAAAACCATACATGTTAAATTGGAACAAATTACTATGATCCAGTATATTATTATATATTATATCAACTTAAATAAAATAAACATAAAGAAAAGTGTCAATAAGTTACTTAGGTAATAAGAAAGATAGCTTTTTTTGTTTTTGTTTTGTTTACATTTCAAAATCATATTTGTTTGTTTAAAAAAATAAGATCCAATTTTTGCTTTAAATTTAATTTTGTATTTAATTACATTTTTATTTTTCAAAATTTTTTTATTGAAGATTTACTTTTCTTTTTATATCATAACAGCAGATTATAATAAATGTTCCATTATACAGTATAGTATTAGAAAAAAAAAAGAAAAATCAACAAATTAAAATTTCCATGTTGATTTAAATAAATTATTATTAAATAATAATTTCCAATAATCACAACGTTTTTTCATGATATTTACATATTTACATAATTTATCATTTTCAATTAAATTAACATTATATTTACCTTTTTTTGATTCATACCAATTAGTTATATAACCAGTTCTTGAAAATTCATACATTGCTTTATTAAGTAAATCACTAATTTTTCTTAATCTATTTAATTCTTTTTCATTACTATATGAATCGTACAATTGTAATAAACTTGGATCTGTAAAATCATGATGTATTTCATATGTTCTTAAATATAACATTGCATCCCAACCATGAAATGAATAAGATACATATCCATTTAATGAATATGGATCAAAACATCTATGATTACCAGTTAAATAATATTGATATATTGGATAATATTGATTTATAAATGTATTAACTAATTCAGTTAATGGACATGTTAATCGACTATCAGTAATTAATAACATTAAATTAGATACTAAATCATTATCTTTATATATTGTCTTATTTTCTATCATATTATTCGTATGTGTACAATTTATATTATTAAAATGATTTGATAGAAAATAATCAATATATTGATCATATAATGTAATATTATTTAATTTTAATTTTTCAATTATATAATTTTGATAAATATTTTTATTCCAAAATGGTATTGTTTTAGGTGTAGGATAAATAGATACTTCATGTGATGTTTGTCCAATAACCATTGGTTTAATACTATTTGGTATAAGAATTTTATTCCATAAATCAATATTTACAAATTGATTATCATTAATTAAAATATTGATAAATCTATTTGTTTTAATATTATTTAATTCATGAATAGAAGGTAAACTAAATATTGAATTCATTAACCATTGTTCAACTATAGTCCAATTCCATAGATTTAATATATTTATTGAATTATTTAATTTATAATTAGAACAATTATTAGGATTTCTATCATCTTGACAATTTAATGCAGAATTAATTGTTTGAATAACATCATTTACTGATACATTTAATAAACTTAAACCAGGTGCAGTAATCCATAATTTATCAAATAATTGATTACTAATTGAACTATAAAATAATGTTAATGCACAAGTTGCACCAGAACCATAACCAAATAAAATTACATTTAAGGGATCACCTCCAAATTGTGCAATATTGTTACGAATCCATTGTAAAACTAATAATTGATCATGTAATCCAAGATTAGGTATTTTTTCATATGGATGAGGTAAAAATCCAAATGGACCAATTCGATAATTAAATGTTACATGTATAGCATCAGTTTTATATACAGTATCTGAGCTAGGCTGTTTTGGTTCATTACTGTACATAAAAAATAATCCATCTATTATAATAATTACAGGTTTTGCTTGGTTTATCGACTTTTTATTAATTGGTACATGTATATTTAGGTAAAGACAATTTTCACTACCATCAAATGCATTGTGCGAAGATTTCGGTAGTAATTGTAAACATGAAGGTTTGTAGTGTTGTGTGTAATAAATCGAGTTTATCACTGTAGTGTTACTTAGTTCCCAAGCTTTATGACATAATTTTTTTGAGGATAAATGAATGGGAGGTTTGAAACGATTCTCGTTAATTGGTGGTAAAGCATATGGTATTCCTAAATAACTTATTGTATAGTCATCCTTTTGAACACCTTTAATTTGTCCACAGAAAATATTTACAACATTTGGCTGTGAATTATTAAACCATATTCCAAAGTATGATAAAGCAAATATGATAACAATCACAGTCATTAAAATGAAAGCGATTGTTATAATTATATTGAATAAACATGTCATTGAAGTGATACGTCGAAATCTACTCACTCTTAAATTAGTTACTGATGGTGATTGTATATATTCATTATCATTCCAATGGGCCGCTTCACCATAATTAACTGTTTCCATCTGCATCTTTGTTTATTTTTAGATTTCCTTGTTTTTTAACCCTCAGATTCTTTTGATTAGTGACTTTTCTAGAGTTTTTTTCTTATTAAACGTCAAATATTTCAAATAACATAATGTATGAAAGTATCTATTTCAAAAGTAAGAAACTTCTTATAGAAATCATACTGACTTCCCTAACTTATATTTTATAGAAGTAACTAGCTAATCAAATTACGTGGGTGAATTTTAGCCAATCAAATCAATATTATTTAAAGAAACAAACTCAGAAAAAAACAATGCAACTGTTTGTCTGAACAACTATCATCATAGAAATATTATATACGGATGGGAAAAGTATAAACACATCTAAGCAACGATAATAAAGTGATATTATGCACAATTATTCACTGAATGACAGAAAAACTCCATAGACATAGGATAGATTGAGATATTAAAGAACTGAATAACTCTAGAGACGCTATTGCTGGAAAAATTGCTAAAATAAATATTCGGTCAATAAAATCGTAAATTAGAGACGTATCAGCAACGTCATCAGGTTGTATATCAGAAGTACCATTTATGGAATCTAGAGTTTAAAAATGATCAAATCCATTTTAAAGCCCCCTCTATACAGTGTTAAGTATTTCCAATCAATTGAATTTATCAGTTCATCTAGCATATTGATGGTAATTATAGGTCGCTTCAAACAGGCATATGAGAGCATACCTCATACATTCTGTACATCCATATGATTTTAAAAATTCAGCTTATCTACGTAGCAATTTGTATGTATAATTTTATTTGATTTTTAGAAAGTTCTTTATTCTTAACTTAGAACAACTAAGGCTTTGAATATCTATAGGATGATTCAATCATAATTTCTGTGTAGAAGCATGTGGTACTGTGGTGAAAAAGAACACAGGCGGGAGCAACCAAATGTAGTTGAGTACAAAATTACAGAATCTCTTAGTAAAATCTGAGAACCAAACAGTATATACTTCGTTTGCAAAATTTCCATCAATTGTCTCAGACTTCATTGTTCCTTCGTTTTCACGCCAATCATTATCTGTCCTCGTTCTCTTCTCTCCGATATCCCCAACCTTCTGCCACTGAGCATTTCACTTTTGATTGGTAATACATACTACTTATATCTGTTGACATCAGCAGCTCGCACCACAATACTACTAATACTGTGGTGTGTCCTACTTATGTCGACATACATAAGTAGTATATAACACCAATCATTCATTCTAAATTTTTAAGCTGATTTTAACTGAAGTACAACAAAAGCTGCACAATTACACTAGAAATTCTCACAGAACATAACATTTCCAATTTCGATTTCTTAATTATAACTCTTCAGGAAAACAAGAAGTTGAATACATTTCGTTAATGAGATAGAAAAGTTAAGAAGACTATGTTTGGACGGAATAAAAACATAAGATTATGTTTTTATTTTAAATGTGACTTTATTCAGCTTTATATATTTCTTTCTACAAACTAATCCTTTGTTCCTGTACTATATCCTTAAACACAATCTTTCTTTTATACACTAGTACCACTGAAGTGACTACTTCCACGAATTCGGTGTTTTTCCTGTTGTGCTAATAATGTGTGACAACTTGGACCAATCCATATATGTGCCTGGTCCTATATTGTAGATGACTGACTAATTTTTGTCTTGCTTCAGTTTCATTTCCGTTTATTTAACTTTGTATAAGTGCTTCTCAATATTACATCAATTTGTACGTCACTGTTAATTTTCATTCACTTGACTTTTGTTTGGTACAGCATTCAGTTGTAGTTTATTGTTTGTGATTTTGCGTTCACCTGATAATTGCTAAGTTTCATAATTTTTGTCATTATTAATTATTGAATATAATCATTATGTAACTAAATAAACTTAAATGAAATTTTCATCTTTTAACATTTTTATCAATAAATTATTTTTTGGAATATTTATAGTTTGTAATATTTAGGGTTAAATAAGAAAAGAAGCTGCCGTATCCTGTTTCAGAATTCTGTCTAAATAACCAGTGTTATCTCTCATGTTTATGTCAGACCGTTAATTTTTTTTATCTTCTATCAAAGTTGAATTAATAGGGATGTCTTGTTCAATATGAGATGGTGGAGAAGATTTGTAGCTCAGGTGGATGATTTTGATGGAGTTTTGGCAATTCATACAACCGTTTGGATTTAAAGTTCTCTAAACTTGTTACATTAACTCTCCTTATAAGTTAATACTTCAGTCAAATAATTTCAGAGAACAATCAGTAAAACTAAAAAACTGATAGACAAGGTGAAACGGTTTTAATATCACAGAAAAAAAATTACTAGATAATCTATTAATTTTAAATTAATACCTGTAATAAGCATAATGTTTTAAGTACCTTTAAAAGTTGGCGCCATTCACTAAAATTTAGAACTAAAATAAAAAAACTTTCATTATTTACCTCTTATCTCTTCTTATCACACCCAACAAATCAATAAGTTTCTGAATTATGCTTCCGTATATCACAGATAATACACATAGTAATAAAAACAGTTAAGTAGTCATTGGAGTCGGTGTCTCCTAAGCTGAAGAATTAGGTCGATAAGGCAACTAAAAGAAATAGATAGTTATTCTAAAAAAAAGAAACTAGTTTTCAAAACTTTTGAAAATGTAGTATTCAAATGTCGTAATTGAAATAATGCAAACATTTATTTTAATGTGAGACAATTGATTCAGAATTAATGTATTTACCCTACATTATGATTGTTTAATGAAATATTCATGTTAACAGTTGAGAAAGAAATAGGTAAAATATTATAAATTAATAGCTGTTTCTAAAAACCTAACTTGTTAACATTCAGTGTATTTAGACTGCTATAGTTAGAGGTAGACGTTTGTAGATATAGCATAATAATCCTTATATCATATGTCTGTTGGAATAACTAAATGGCATGAAACTTGCCACAGTAAATCGTAGATCGGATAAATTAAATAAGAACATAAGGACAATGGACGAGGGTGTATGTGACATCTAAAATAAATTCAAATATTTGAATCCCGTAATTCTGAATGTCTTACATTGATTGATTGTTAGATATGTATACAATAAACTAAATAGTCCCTGGCACTAATTAGTGAACAATTTACTGAATAAATATTAACTGTCCAAAATCAACTTCCTTAACTATGAGAAAGCGTTTGACAGTATGGATAGGGGAACCTCATGCAACCTTCTTCGACATTATTGTGTACCTGAGAAAATCGTCAACATCATACGGAATCCGTACGATGGATTACACTACAAACTCGTGAGTAGAGGACAGCTTACAGATACATTTCAAGTGAGGACCAATGTAAGACAAGACTGATTACTCTCACCCTCTCCTTTTCTTCTAGTGGTCCACTGGATTAGAAACACCTCAACACCTAACGGGAAGGGACTACACGATTTGGACTTCACAGCTCTTCTATCCCATACACACCAACAAATGCAGAAGATGACAATCAGTGTAGTAGCAACATCTACATCAGGAGGTCTCAACATACACAACAAAAAATCGTTATCCTCAAATGCAACGCAGCGAACACCATCTCAATCACACTTCATTCAGAAGCTTTGGAAGTGGTTGAAACTTTCACTCACCTGAACAGCATCATCGATGAAGGAGGAGGATGTGATGCAGATGTAAATGCAAGCATTAAAAATGCATGGATAGCATTCCTACACTTCAAGAAAATATGGAACTCAAATCAACTGTCGATCAATGTCAAAGTCGCAATCTTCAATACGAACCTCAAGACAGTTTCATCATGCTCTTTTTTTATTTTAACTTTCCATCAAACAGAACAATGGAATCTTAAAAGAGACTTTACTAAAATGAACATACAACGTTCACATAATTTATTCAGCCCATTTTAGGAATTTTATCCTTCGAATTTCACTTAACAGTTCACAAGAGATTGGTCTTGGTATCATCAAAATGAGTACAATCTAATCAAGTATATGTTTATGGAATTTAGATAACTAACAACTATGAATCGTTATCATTTAGATTTTGTTGCATGAATTGTGTTCATTCTTTTACACACTGAATGTATTTCATTTTGTCTAATCCTTATTGATAAGTTAATTCTATCGAATAAGTTGCTATGTTTCCACTAGTCTTAGTACCAGGTCAATGAATCGTAAATTTATCGATCATGAAGAGTGAATGATGTATTCAGTTGAGTCACATGTTCTTAAGCTTTTGAATTGTTTCTAGATGGAACACTTTGAATTCTAATTCTATTTCAATCAACTGACACTATTTAGGATAATCAAAGTCGACATTATACCTAGCTACATATCACTGGTTCAATACTGTCATGTTCGCGTCGCTTATTACTTGAATCACTGCAACTCCTACTATACAAAGTAAGTCCACCAGGATTGGTACAAATAAATCTTCATTAGATCCGAAACTCGACAACCCTAGTCGGAAATACACTCACTTATATATTTTAGAATATTAAAGATTCCCATTGTGAAAATTAGAACAACACATATAAGCGAACAATTGTTTTCAATTAGATCATCATCAGGCTTTACTCTAATATGCAGTAATATTTATACGAAAATGTTAAACCAATCAAGGCAATTTGGGTCGGTAAGTACAATGAAATAGGATAAGTCATCACACATAATAGATAAAAGTACAAGTTGATGGTAGGAAGACAGGTGTACTGGTAGTAGGTAAGAATGAGAAAATACGATAACAAAAGCCTTATCAAAGTTTATCAATAGTTAAACATTGGAAATAGTAGGTCAAACATGGGTAAATGGAATAGTCATCAGAAAACATTGAAATCATTACATAATAAGAAGTGTGTAAATAATTAGATAGTGAAGAATACAAACGGAAAGAGACGGATAATTCCAAACAAATAATGGATGAGTAAATAAGGTTAATGATAGAATAATAATAATAATAATAATAATAATAATAATAATAAGGAAAAAATAAAGAAAATAAAACTAAATAAGTAAAAATTAATC